CCCCTGGGTGCTGTTATCCCCTGTCCTGTGCACCCTGTTCAGCTGATGTGTGCTCCTGATTTTGGTAGGATTTTCATGTTGAATCGCAGGACTTAGAAATGCACCGATGAGCTTAATAAGAAAAAAGCATCAACGGTGCTTTTGAGGGGTGGCATTTTTTTTCCTTCTTTCTTTATTTAATATGCTTTGGTAGACATTTGGAGATGGAGTTGCATGTATACAACTGCAGTGTTTCTCAATGAAATGGAGCTGGTCGAGAATAAATTGTTGAGTATAAATATGTCAACAGAGAAAAAGGCAAAAAGAAAACTGAAACCAGAAGCTTTTCCTGTAGGACTGTGTTAAAATAAAACCTGTGGAATAGTTTAGGAGAAAGAACTGTTGAAGCACTAGATTTCTTAATTTTATGCATTTATTTTTGAGTCTCCCTAAAGGATCCTAGAAATAATTTTTATACATTCTCTGATAAATATGTGGTTTGGGAGCTGGGTATCCTTTTCTTTTTGTGTGTTTTGTTGTTTTTGCTCTCTTTTAGCAGGACAGTTTTAAAATGCAGCACTGTGTAACCCAGAGACTAATTCTGTTGTCCTTGTGTGGTGCTCTCATGCCTAATGTATATTAGTCAGTTCAGTCTGAGCTTGTGACTTTCAGTAGTGACCCAGTGACCTGAGTGCTAGTATGAAAGCAGCATGTTTCAAAGTTCACTACTTTTTAAATGTGATTCARGAGTTTTGCTCTGAAAAATTTGGTACTGCTGCAAATAGAGAATCAACTTGTAGCTTTTTTTTTTCCCCTCTCATAATTGAATTTAATTGTGAAATACATACCAGAATTGGGAGTTGTTTCAAACATGTGAATATCAGCAATCCCACTGGAGTCACTGGATCCACTCCAGTTTGTAAGTCAGTGTGCTTACAGTATGAGGGACTATGTTCTTGTTTTGCTGTTCCTGGTTTTATCCTGTCTTTGGTTTTATTGGAAGGTATAATCAAGCTCTTTGAATGATTAAAGTCATTGGGACTTTGAGAGCTATAATTGTTAGGATAATTTTGGATGGAACTATGATTTTGTGCAAATGATGAAAAATACAGAGAGAAAAGAAAAGGGGGGAATGCAGAAAAATCATACTTTGCAATCAGATGAATTTAATTACCTCTTCAGGTCCCTGGTGTGATTGTAATACAGATGTTGAAATTATTAATGTTCTCAAAATGTAATGAATGGATCTTACATTTGGATTAAAATCTCAGAATTGTATTTAGCAGCTTATTGAAACAGTGTTCAGTTTTCAGTGTTCTTTTAGAGCAGAGGTGCAAGGCACGCGAGAAAGGGTAAAAAACAGGAGTGCTAATCTAAATGATAATACCACGTCGTGTGGTTCTCTGAGCTTCCATTGAATAGTGTAGTTAGCAGCATTATTGACAGTGATTTATAAACCAGGGAATTTCTTGTAGCAAACTTTCCATTTTCAATTATATTGTCTGTATACTCTAATACTAGATAAAAAAGAATCTTATTTAATCTGAACTAGTGTGCTAGTGTGTGTGCACTTCCTTTATCAGAAAGGAAAAGGAGAACTTGGAAGAAATGTTATAAATCTATGGGGATTTGGCTCCACCTTCAGAGTTCAGAAGGAACAAATGACAAATCTCTCTTCCTCCCCACACTTTTTTTTTTTTTTTTTTTTTTTTTTTTTAAACTAAGCTGTCTTGCCTTCCTTCTCTAGGAAGCATAGAAGCAGAAATCTGAACAGAGTAGTTTTTTTTTCCTCTCTGTTGTTGAGAAACTATAAAGGATGCTTGTCTGGAGCTGATCGCTCTGTACCGCCTTTTGCAGATATCTGAGTGACCATAAGGAAAAACTGGGACATTGGTGACACTGCTTATGCTTAAAGTTACGCACATGGTTTGTGACTAGGCCTTAGAGCAGTCTTTATGGCACACCTTTCAGGGGAAGTGTCCAGTTGAGATGCATTACAAACCTCTATTACTAGTTTCTGTTTATGACAGGTTACAGAATCTGCACATCATCTAGATGTGAGAATGGTAAGTCCTATATATAGGTCTGTGATAGAATCATAATGCCATTTTTTTCTTGTCCCTTTAAAGCTTGATATTCTATTTTTCTTTTTGGCAGGAGTTGTTTGCCTGAGAGTTGATTTTACTTCCCCAAGTCACCTGTTATTTTCTTTTCTGTTTTTTTTTTTTAACTTGTATATTAAGAAATAATACTGAATGTGTCAATTTTCATTTTTCTTTCTAGGTTCTGCCCAATTGCTGTTTAATGCAACCTCATTTGTTGAAAAAAATATCTGTAATGAAACTATTCTCTTACCCTGCCTTGTGTATAATCTACAAGCAAATGATAAAACAGTCATGTACGTTAAGTGGAGAAAACAAGGAAGTTTATTTTTTTCTTTTAATGGAGTACAGCAGTCTGTCACAGACTCCAATTTTTCATCGGCTAAGCTATTATCTGAAGCGGATTTATCCAAAGGTGTTGCCTCTATATTACTTAACAAGAAGGAAGCGACTATTGGAAATTACAGTTGTGAGGTGACAGAATCCAACAGAGAAGGTGAAACTATGTTTGAGCTTAGGAACRGTACGGGTAAGTTCTCTGCTATTGCTTTAGAGCTTACTGGGAAAGAAAAAATCTTAAGGGAAAGAGGATAATATACCACTTGAAATTGAAAATGCCAAGAATGTAGGATCCAGTTCCTCAATGTCTTCTGACTTGAATGCTTATTTTGAAACTTAAATGTTTTAAGGTAGAGGGGAGTGTTTCTGTGGGAAATAGTTGAACTAATTTAGTGATTGTATACTAATGCTTGAAGGGTGTTTGTCTAATGTAGAACCATGCTTTCCTGCCTCTTTGGGTTACATAGTAGGTGATGCTTCCAGCACCCTCAAGTCATTGTGTTACATATTGAAGCAGGCTTGATCTCTTCGTGACACTGAGAAGTGTGTATCCATAAGCAACTTCACAGTGGCTACAGAGACTTCCTGTTTAAAGAAATGCATCTTGCATTCTTTAACTATGCTGGAAAAATTGCAGTTAGAACTAATGGAAAATTTGTGTGAGTTCTAAAAAGTGCTACTCTTTTCAGTGAGGCTGAAATCGCTGCTGCCAGGTGGTGGCTTGTTAATGTTGTCCAACATTTAAGTCTCCTTTAGACAGTGTTAAGCTAAAATAATGGTGACTAAGTGATGAGCTTCTCATTTGGTAAGCCATTTTACCTTGTCGTCTTGTCAGAGGCAGCCCATATGCTCCAGAATAGAATTGACCCTGAAAGCTTTTACATCATTTGTCATTAAAACATTTCTGAATATCAAACAGATTGCTACTTGTATCTTGCTGCTCTGTAATTTGCAGTTGGCTCTAAGCGAGTTAATCGGATGCCCTGCAAAACAAACATGATCCTGAAGTGGGTTGAGAGAGATGCAGCCACTGAGGTGCAGAGTGACAGTGCTAGAAAATTATTCAGTTCTTAGAATGCTGCCAAAGAAAAGGCAAAAAAGTAAAAAAGCAACCAACCACCAACAGAAAGAAGAATAGGCCGTTTCCTTCCTAGTATTAAAGCTTCCTCTCAAGCTTTACTTAGCCTTTTTGGATGATATTTTTGTCATTCAGTGTTCAACTGTAGAAGAGGAAGCAAAACCTGGGGAGGTAGCAGAACCAAATAAACTGGGCTGTAGTTGCTTTGTTGATGAAGGTTAATTGGAGTGAGGGTTCAGTTTAGTTTTTTTTTTTTAATTAAGATCAATAATTAATAAAAATATTATACATGATGCAGAGTACAGTTCTAGTTTTTTCTTCTTTACTTTTCTATGTGTTTAGAATTTTAGTTTTTGAAAGAAATATAAAGACTACAAAGCAGAAAACTGATGCAATTTTTCTAATTTCATTTTCTAGTTATCAGTTGCGGCGAGGAAAATGCCTCAGCACCAGAGGAAAAATGTGGTCGGTGAATAATTTATAGTGGGCCCAAGGTCATGTTAGGCTTGAGAACATAAGTCAGAAAATGTAAACTATAGCCTTATGTTTGAGGGTTCAACTGAAGGTAAAACAGTCACCTCTTCATTCTGTAAATTTTCCTACACTTTCTCAGTACCTGTGCTCCAATATTTGAAAGAAATTCTTGAGATACTATGTTAATGCAGGAAGGTAYAGCAAGTGAGCTTTAAAAAGAGTTTACGAATAATGGAAGTCCTATACCAGTCTTCAGTCTGTTTTTTTTTCTGAACAGGCAACTCATGTTTTAACTAGAAATATATTCCAGCTGAGCTTTCTGCAGAGGTAACGTTAGAGGAGAGAGCTCTTTCCTAGCTATGCCCYTTGCATTTGCATAGGGAATGAGTAGCAGAATAAGGATCAGATCCATGATGACTGACACACCTTGACCCTCATCTTTGGACGCAGTCTTCTCTAATGAAGCGTTTTGCTAGTGAAAGGAGAGTTAGTTTGGAGAGGATTTCCTTATGTTGGCTCCCAAAATAATATTTTTGGCCAGGAACTTACTTTGTTGCTATGAAGCATGAGAGGACAGGCAATGTGTTACCAGGAGAACGTGTTCAGCTGCTCCTCTTGCGCATAGTAGGGGAACATTGCGAGCACTTCCATATACGGAGCCCTTTTACATTGAGAGTGGACCGCTGTAACTGGAGGTCCCACCATCTGGAGGCAGATTCCCTGGCAGATARCAGGCTCCACGCCTGCTTTTTGTGTTCGGAATGCCCAGTAACATCATCCCCAGGTGCTGCAGAGGAAATCATGTTACTTCTCAGGCTCTGTTTTCAGATGCTTTCAATTCATTTAAAATTCTCATTTGAACCACTGGCATTTGTCTGTAGGATTCAGTTTTTCCAGAAGACGACAATTGTTTGTTAAAGTTACTGTTCAGTACTAGCTGTTTTATTTATTTATTTTCAGATATGCATGAAAAAATCCTAACGCTAAATTTCTTTTAGTGATAAGGAAACTGACAAATGTTCTTCTGTCTGCCCTCTTCTAATATCTTTTTTGTTTCCTTTTATTTGTGCGGTGACCACAGCATCTCTTCTATGACAGTGGAGGGAAGAAAAACAAAATTTTAAAAAGATTATGTTTCACAGTATCCCCATTTCCATCAATTCATGACTGTCAAAGAAATGAAGTGTTGGCTGCAGTGCTAATTTATTGGAATCCTGTACCAACACCAGTTTCTTTGACAAKTTGTTCTACCCCGGAGTAAAGCGACATGCTTGCTAGGCTTAGCTTGCCATCTCCTACAGTTGTGTGTATGTGTACTTTCCCTGGGCTTTATATGCTCTTTATGGCTGCAGACTCTACTTCGTAACGTGACCCGTAGTCCTTATGATTAATACTAAATGTTTCAGAAACAAACATTTTTGTAGCCTCTTATCTTACATCAAGAGAGTGCAGCTTAAAAGTAGCGATGAACATGGGCCACAAACTCCCAGGCCCAGATCTGTGATCATTTTGGGGACTAATTCATGCACATGTGTGGGAGTTGCATTGGATTTGTGTTGAGCCCCTTGCTGCCATGGTTACATTACTACTGATGTATGGGATGAGTCATTTCAAGGCAGATTCTGAAATATTTATGGATGTGCTGTCTATTCACAGGCACAATATTCTAGTGCGGTGGCACAGGTACAAACACGTGTGTGCCACTTCTGGATATTGTGGCAACCCTGTGCTGCACTGTAGCAGATGAATAAGACCCCAGTAATGCCAGATTGACATTATAAAAATTGCTTAATTGGGTTAGATCTGAAGGCGAAATGTGAATGATAGGTTTTGAGCCAAAATCCTGATTCAAGTAAGAATTTGAAAATGTCAAATGCAAAGAGAAGAAGGCTTCTTATAAGAAAAAATAAGCCTGAAATGCACACTTGTAGTGTTGTAGTTGCGTGCAATCTTTAGCATCCTCATTCTGAGTAACCTGTGCGAGTCATGATGCAGCTTTCTCTTGTGCTGTTCCTGTGGGGATCAGGAGAGGCGGGGAGGAGAAGGGATGTAAGTGTAGGGAGCCATATCCTCTTGTCATGAAATAATGCTTTCCTTCCTTCTAGGCATTCATGAGCTCTTAGAAAATGGTTCTTGATCCATAGTCTTTGTTACTAATATCACTAACTRGTAGACAGTTGAACTGGACCCATTAGGTAAAATCACTTAAGGCTGCTCTTTGTGGAATGCAGGAGCTTCAAGCTCTCCGAGATGCTTGACAYTGAAAGCTCTGAGGTATCACTGCTTAATTCTGTTTTTTTTCTGGAGCTGCAGATACAGTTTTTAAATATAAAGTGTACATAGCAGTAGTACACATCAAAAAGAAGATGAGAAATCTCTTCAGAAGTAGGTGTGAAGGCAAAAGACCAGTGGCAAGTATAATGTAAGAAAGATAGACTTTGAATTTCAGGGAATGAATCTAAATAAGGTGAAGAGCAGAGATGCAAGAATCAACTGTATTTTCTGGTTCAGTGGGGGGATTTTTGGGAATTATTGCATGCCTGTTAGAAGGCGGTTTGTATGATCTTACAGCATGGATGGCTGGGCAGCCTAAGGCATCTGAGATGCAGGGCAAGAAAGCCAAGTGCATGACAGTGGGAACACATAGAAGAGAACTTGTCCAAAATCAGCACAGTAGCATTTTTCTCTCCTTTAGATTAGCTCCTGTACTCTGTATCACACATCTGAATTTGAGTGAGTATATTATAGTAGAGTTATAGTCTTTGAGGATAGACTAAAAAGTGGACTTTATAGGTCAGGTACATACATTGCTTTGCTGATCTCTTGTGCCATATGTAGTTTTACAAGCTCAGTAGCTGGTACTGCCAGACAGTATTATGCACATATCCTCTGTTGCTCTGGAGATTAAGATATGCAGTTTGGAAAATAATAACTAAAGTACTGAAAAAGATAAGCTGTCCTTCACGAGATGAGAGCAAAAATCGATAGGTAGAAGTCACAGCTTTTATAGCATTAAAAGTKTTAACAGACTAACTGTTAAATATAGTATGAACATTGTAGAATGTAACCTGAAAGAAGCACTAAATGTAAAGCTAGTAACATCAGTTTTTGTATTCTTCCTATAATTTTTCTGTGTTTATTCTCTAGGATCATGGTTTCTTCCAGTGGAAAGTGCTTGCATCATAGTGTTGCTATTCTTAGCTATTATTTTCTGTTGGGCTCAGTTAAGTGTTATTGGTAAGTATTGACCTTTTAATTCTTTGCAATTGTTGATTTGTCTTAAAATCGCTTTTATAAAGGGAGCCATGTAAAATGAAATGTAGTGCTCACATATAAAAGATATGTGGTAGAATTGCTTGGGGCAATACAGGCGTATGTCTGCTCCATCAAATAATTTAGCTTTGTTTGCAGCAGGACCCCCTCCTGCAGCTCCACAGTGCAGTACAGACATTCACATTTGAGCTTTCTTTCGGAATGAATCGACTAGTAACACAAGAGACTGAAATCAAATACAGTTCTGAGGGTAGTTCGTAGCAAGCACTGTTACTCACAATCTTAGAGTTGTCTGTAAGAGCACACCCAGCTACACTCCTCCTCTGTGTAGTCTTCCAGCTCCCTTTCAGCAGGCTTTGCCCTCATTCACAAACTCCTTCAGGCCACGTATTGTACATTTTTTGGCATCAAGTGAGAAAAACCCTAGTCTGGCAGGTTGCAGTAGCACTTGCAGTGGCTGAGACCTCATCAATCAATAAGATCTGTGTTTTGGGGCTGCAGCGGGTCTGTCACATGGTGCCAAAGTTCTGTAGTGTGGATCCAGGCACTGGTTTGTTTATTTATTTATTTTTCCATGAGTGGATATGTAGATTATAATTTTTGCAGGATTAATTGATGGTGCCCTAGTCTTTGATTAGAACAAGAAAGCCTTTTTTTCTTGCTGCTTCACTATGACATTATCGAATCACATTAGAAACAGAAACATATTTCATTTTATGGTTATAAAGTCAATCTTAGAGAAAGATGGTGCTCTCAAAGTAAAATTAGACACTGTATTTTTAGCACTAGCTTAGTCATAATTTAACACTGACACCAGTGAGCMTAGAAAAATTTTCAGGAAAAAAATAATCCTTCAGCAGCATCAAGRCATTCTTAGGTATTCTTCACATGCTGGTGTTCCTCCTGTGCGAGAGAGCTTTGTGTCCTAGCACGGATTCAGATTGTTTCCTGAGGTGCTGTGTGTTATGTCAGTCTTGGTGAATTTCAGCCCTTTTTTAAAAATTTGTAGTTTTAAAATCATTTTCTTGGAGCCCTGGAGCATATAACAAGTTCATAGTAATCAGTTACTTATGCACTTATCTGAATGTAGTTTTATTTATTATGTTTTCATAATCCTCTAAAAATGATCTGTGTTTTTTTTCCGAAGGTTCTTGGTCAGAAATTGAAAACTATTTTTTTAGTGATTTTGTTTCCGAGTGCTAGATTCCTGATTTTTGTGATTGTTTATAATGGTTTAAGACTCTTAACTTGTTCTAAGAGGTTCGAAATCATCATTGCCTACAATTATATTCAGAACTGGCACATTTTCTACTTTTGATTGGATAGTAATAATTGTTCTGAAACACAGATGCATCTATAGAAAAGCACTGTTGCTCAATAGGTACAAGTTGAGCCTGCTTAGATATTGCTGTGCCTTGGCACCTTTTTTTTTTGCAAACTCTTTTACTTCACTGAGGGAAAGTATGCATGCTGTCTCTAACTTGCATTAAGTTAGGCAATAGGGATACAATGAAGGTGTTTTAGTTGCAAGAGAGGTCATTCTGTAACCCCTGCATAGGGCGGTATTAAAGCTTTTCCTTACACATACTCTTCAAAATAGTTAGGGTGTACTGGTGATGTGGGTGTTTTGATTTGGTTCTGTGGGTGCCTTTGTTTGTTTTATGCTGGTGCAGTGGGCAGAAGTAGGATGTTAATTCAGCCAAAACTCATKTCATTTTCTTTTTCAAGTTAGTTCCTCTGTGTGTTGCGGTTTTTGTTGGTGACTACCTGTTTACATTCTAGTTCAACGTAAGCCAAAGTTCTGGGGATTTTCTTCAGAACTTTGTAGCTTGGAACAAGCTGTACCTTTTTTATCTTACTCGCAGCCATGCTTAAGGCAGGAACACATGCAGCGCGTGAGTACAGTGTCTTTGTACTCTTTCTTCCTTTCCAGTGGCCCCTGAAGTGTCTCACAGTGCAGTTTGACTGCAAATCAGCCCCGTGCACAGCTTCTGTATGTCATTTGTAATGTGTCCATCCTCAGAGCATCTCCGTGAGGGGGGCTCATCCCCCTGTTCCTGTRGGAACCGGAATGATGCATCTAATAGCACACAGTGTCCCTGGAAAGGGAGTTAAACTTGGGCTTTCTAAATGCCTGTCTAATGTTCGCCCAAGTAACAAATGGCTTATTGCGCCGTGTCAGTATCAATATTGCATCTGACTGAATTAACCTGTGACACGTCCCCAGAGCGACATTGACAGCAGTTGGCCAGGACTGATAGTAGGCAAGATTAAGAATTGCACTGAAGCATCTGTGTCAGGTTTCATTGATACGAGTAGGCCRTTCTGATATATTAATTAACCATGCCAAAGATGAAAATAAATGAGATCTTGGTGATAATAGTTATTATTAAAATTGTTGTCTAGAAGTGAACTCCTAAAGAATCAGATCTGTGTTCTTGTGAAGGAATGTAAATGTCTGACTTTCCTCTCCTTCTCTTTATTTTGTCTTTAAGCATCAAAATTTGAAACTGTATTTCAGAAGAAAATCAGCATTATTATAACATGTAGCATCTTCACAATTGTTGCTATTGTAGGTGTTATTCTTTTTGTGCCAGGTAAGTTTGAAAAATTATCTTTCTATTTGATGGGAATAAGCCCAAATCCATTTTTTCCCTAGTTTAATGGGCTAATCTTAAAATGGAATAAAGTTTTGAAATAAAATAAAAACAGCATTGTGATTTTCATGCCTTCGAAGTGGCCCCGGCCATAGGGAAACAGATACTCCAAACTGATAGCTTTAATTGCTGTCCTGCTGCCTCTGTTGAAATATGGGGAGGGGGGTACAGAGTGACTTCTGCTGTTAAAGTGGAATCTTTGGGAGACCCTAAAAATGACAAAACTGATTTCCATATGTTGCTTGTGCTTTATTCCATGCAAGGCTTTCTGTTTTACTAATTTGCATGCAAACGTTTGCAGATGGCTATACTCCAGGAAGTCAAGCTGGACTTGGTTTAATTGTGATCCCTGCTGTGATCCTACTGCCACTCCAATGCCTTCTATTTGGAATGGGTGAGTGTTTACCTTTTCACCAACTCAAAAATGTACAGATAGATAAACTGAGGGCTCCCCCCCACCCCAGCTCACACAACTTGCATGATATTCTCACCATAAATAGCTGCTGTGATAGTGTGCTGGGCTTCTGACCTTCTTAGCATTGCCAAACAGCATCTTTATCCTGACTTTGTTTGGCTTGGGTGCTTCAAGGAAGAGGTTTAAGTTATCTGCTTAGAAAACAGGCTTTAGTGTAGGGTGTCCAAGTGTTTCACATGTATGTGTATGTACATATAAATCATCAAATATAAATATTACGATTTAAAGAAAAGCCTGAAGTGACTTGCTTAGCTTGTTTTGTAAACATGGGCTGATTAACTCTGGAATTTAGGAGAACCTGATTCTTGGTTTTACGTGAATGATCTAGCTTTCTTTTTCCCTATAGTTTATCTTTAAAATTACTTTTTTTTTTTTCCTCTCTCTCTCTCTCTTCCAGTTTTGGATAGCCTAACAAAAACAGCATATGCTCTGATAGCTTTGGAGTTTATTGGTTATATCGTAGCTGTGGCTGGTTTTGCACTGTGTGTCTCAGGTAAGAAGTTTCCTCTGCTGTAAAAGTGATCTTTACGTCTACCCCTGCTGGGAGCGTTTCTCAGTCACACCAGAATGCTGCGAGAATGATTCCAGTGYGCTGTGGCTTATCAGTAGAGCTCCATGTTGGGACTGCTGTGTTAATGCTCTTTCATTTGGGGAAAGAAGCATAGCCCAAGGGCGCTGTTGGGCTCACCAGCTTCCGTAATGTGGCCCTCTCCAGCAGGACTGCATATTGGGAGCAGCTGCCTTTGCAATCCACAAGCGAAAAATAAGCAAAGAAAACCAGCCTATGCATTGGTTTATTTTGCAATCCTGAGTACACGGAAGAGTCACCACAAGCCAAGATTGACCTTATTTCTTATTTTTACTGGGATCTGCAGTATTTAAAAAACAATCTTTGCTCGCGAACCCAAATCGAGCCATAATCAGTTTCTGATGTTCAGATGAATAAATCTCTTGCCAAATCTCTTGCTTGTACATGAGTGCTAACTGAATTGCTGGGGAATGCAAATCACTGCATTTGCCTTGTGCTGTTTCAGAAACAGCAAATTAGGAAGGAGCTGGGAACTGTTAAAGCCTAGGAATGGCTGGCATTTTGTTTCAGCCTTGAACAATAATCCCCGCTGAAAAAGAGCGTCAACTAAACAGCACGTAGCAACAGCCCTTCTCACCCTGCCCCTTCCTTGTTCCTCTCCCTTCCTTGTACTTTTGAAGAGCTCCCAGGTAGTTGTAGTGATCCCATGTCCTAGGAAATGTTCATAAGAAAAAGCAGAGAACGAAGAGTTCCTGAAACGGGACGTGGTTGGGTTGAGATGGCCAGTTTCTGCTCTGGGATGTCATTGTAAACTTAAAGTATCCCTATTATCTTTGGCAGATTTGCTGCAGATCTACATTGTCCTCTCACTTTTATCACTTTTTATATCCATCTTTTTCCCACTGGTTTATCGGTAATTGTATTCGGTAATGCCATTATAGTTTTAAAAAGTTGGTGTTTAAGATGTAAGCTTAAATCGAAAAATAAATAATGAAATAATGATTTCAGATACGGTGAATATTACAGCTAAACTGCTACCAGGATAAGTCAGTAAAAGCCTTTGTACAGTTAAAGAACACATGCAGGAAAAAGAAGATGCAGAAATACTTCTTGAATGCTTTTGAAAGATAGATTACTTCTGGGTTTTGTTTTGGGTATTCTATATGAAAATAAATATGTTCTCTTTAACTCAAGTCAGATAATATTTCTTTATTTCTTGTTTTCAACAGCCTGTCCCGTGTTAAATGGGTCTGTTGTGATTGCTGGCTTAGCTATTATGGCTATTGGAGCTTTGCTTAGTCTGATTTATGTGTGTTTTGTGGGTAAGTAGCACATAAAGTCATTTTATTATCTCCTGTTTTTCCTATGCTTAATTTGACAAGTAGCACAACAAATAGCAACGCTTGCTTCTGCAGCCTGTGTATTTACCTTACCTCAAGTGACAAGAAAACTCTAAGGTATAAAAGGCAGCCCAGGCTGCTGAGTAAGGAGGAGCGCAGCGGAAAGGGCCTGCTGCCTGCAGGCCGGTGCGTGGGCAGCGTGGTCTGCTCCTGAGCACACGGGAGCCTCCTCTGCTTGAGCACCCAGAGCCACCCAGCTGAGCAGCTGCTGCCTCTGCCCTCCCCTGGCCTCGGGACCCCGAGCTCAGGGTCGTCTGCGTGGGCMTTCGCAGCCTGCCAGGCTTAGGGGGAGAAAATCAGTGTGTGGGGAATGCCACTGAAGAAGAAGTTCAGGCAGAAGGCCTAATACATTTTTGGCTGGCGTCCATCGATCTCGTGTAACAGAGGTGAAGCTAGCCTTTTAACAACGATAAAAGTATTTCTTTATTGATGTTAGAAGCTGCTTTTTTTGTAGTTCTTTGATCCTGTGTAGTAGYAGTCTGCATAAATCTTGCCTTTGTAATTTGATTTTGCTGGCTGAAGAGGTTGACATGACTACAATGGTAGATTCCAGTATGCCARGCAATCACAAAACTCAGTGCTGAATAGTTCAGTTCATTTGCACAGCTAAATGCTTAGCTCTGCTAATCCACAAATGGCATGGGATAAAAATATTTGGGTGCTAAACACAAAAGCGCTTGAAGGGTGTTGGGATTTACAGGTCATGTCAAGTCATTTTGAGTATAGAGAGCTGCAACTTATGTTATTACTGTGTTTTAAGTTTTATTGGTAGATATTTAATTGGTCTTTGGATTTATTGACCTGTTTGCCCAATTCATCTTTGTGGTTTTTTTTTTCTTTGCGATTATTTTAGGTTCCCGCGTAAGAGAGCATCATCCTCCAAGGGTAAGCTTAAAATTAATAAATTTGGGGTGACTAGATGGCTCAGGGGAGTGTAGTGAGATACTGAGCCTTTCTTCACTAGTTCGAATTCAGACCAGGTTGGTAGAAAGCCAAAGTGCTGCCTGTGTAACCCGTCTCATGTTGAGTGAGTTGGTGGTCTTCACTGTCCCTGCTGAGTGTGTCACTGCCCCTGCACTCGCCAGCCCAGCAGCTGGGGGGCCCACGAGCTGGGGGGCCCACGAGCTGCCCCAGACACGGCGCCAGGCGGAGTTGCCACTGCGTGGGCTGCCCCAAAGAGGGGGCGACTGTGAGGGAATCTCCACGCTCCTTTTACTGGGCGCTCCTTTCACATGAGGTTGAGGACTTTTGGTTAATGTCTTCTTTTTTTTTTTGTGCTTTTTTTTGTTACGGCAAATGCAGATTACTTTTTATGTTTTATATAGGCAACCTATATAAAAACTAACCTTTTTTATTATTTTTTTTCTAAGACTTTTTACTCTGGAATTCTTTAATGTTCTCTTGAATTCCCAGCTATGCAAAGGCTGTTGCCTGCATAGCCTGTTACCCCTTYCCTCTCTCCACCCTCATCATGTCCCTTAATATTGAGGAGACCATCTGAAAGCAGACTGTCTATCTTTAGGTCACACAGAATAAAAGACAAAGAGGTTTGTTTGTTTGTTTATTTCAAAGACTGCATTTGGTCTTTTTTATTATTTTTATTTTTTATTTTTAATTTTGGAGTAATAATTCCTCAAGCAGTTATTTTCAGACTTGCACTGTATTTTCTAGTGATCCACAACTCTCAACAGCCTGTTTTTTGGAGTTTTGCAGAAGCAAATCAAAAAGCACAACTCCAGAAAACAGCGATACTTCCTGGTGTCCAGGAAACAGGATGGACACGAAGTCATTCCATTTTGTGGCTGCCAGACATCATGTGAGACGAGTTTAGCCCTGTGTCTCCTCTGCAGTCTGCAACTATTCTAGAAATATGATTTCTATAAGTGGCACAGGAGACCTGACTGCAGTTAAGATAACAGAGMTTTTTCCTTCCTTTTTCTTTCATCCAATTTCATTTTAAGGAGTAGTATTTCAGAGGATTGGTCTCTTAGGGGAAGGAAAGTGATAAGTACATGAAGCTTTTGAAAGTGAAGAAAAGAGGAGGTGCACAAAGCCCATGCTCTYATTAAAAATGAGCTGAGAAGTGTCTTACAGAAACACTTATTTCAWAATGCAATAATGCCTTTAAAGCAGCATATCCATAGTTACTTGCAGAACAGAAGCAAACTTGGCAAGGAGAACTATTTAGTTATTTATTATTTCATTCTATTTTGTAAGGAAGACTTTAGGTGTGAACTAACATGCAAAACTTCTGTGGCTCTCCTCTCTCTTTATGAGCTATTCTCTGTGTGAGCTGGTCTTGCGGTGCAGTGAGGATTTGACAAATGGAAATGGTTGCAGTTTAGCATGCAATACTGAACACCATGTTGGTGCATTAATTGGAGAAGGAAATGAAATCAGGAGAAACTTTAAAAATTGGAGGTCATTAGCCAGGTCAGGCTCTAAAACCTGTGTGCTTCTGCAGCCRCCATTAGTTGAGGGTCACATACTAAAGCATTCATTTAACAGTAGTTTGAGTGAAATCCTGTGAGGATATTGATGTTCTGTGTGCGAGGATGTCATGGGAGCTGATGGAAAATAAGGCTGCTCACCTGTTGCTTGTTTCCATCAAGTGCTGCTCGGCATAGGCTTTGSGGGGATGGAGTTGTGGAGGACTCTTGAAAACAGCTTTTTGTTCTGTGTAATCTAAAGACTAAGGACACTTGCTGTCAGCGCACTGTGCTTCGTTTTGGGCACGCTTCTTCAGTGATACCTGCTCCTTTCTTGAGGCTGAGGGGCCAGAGGTGCTTATTCTGAAATCTCTTAATCCTAATCAATTACCTATTAAATTTAATAACACATCTGCAGCTTGCTTCTGTTTCTGATTGCCTCGCAGACTCAATGCACAGTTACTTGGTACATCTCTGTCTGAGATGGAACCACTGGAGTGCTTGACGAGTATTTTTGCTTTTGTTTCCAATCACGTTCTTTTATTACTAACCACTGATGAACTCGCAGAAATAATCGCTGCTGGTATTAGTATTTAAAAGTAGTATCTGCATGCCTTTTGCTGCCACCTAGGGGGATTGCATCTGGGGAAAAAAGGAGGTGGATAGTGGGGAAAAAATYAGCCTGGCGATTGCAGTTACTGATTTTTATTTTCCAGAACTTCAGCAATCCARTTTATTAACTTTCAGCTTCTTTCGTTTTTGTAGAATCACTACTTACTGTATATGTCAATTAGAGTAATTTAACTGTGGCGAGCCAAAAATAAACACGAAGGCATTTTATACATATATATATATTTTTAAATGTTTTGCAGAAAGCTGTAGAAGAACCATTAAATGGTAGGTGGTGTTCAAGATTTATCTTCTAATTAAGGGATTAAGTTTAGAAATAGATTTAAAAAAAAAAAAGTTTATATTGCAACAGCGCTGAGATGGCAGGTGGGCATGTCCAGCTCCGTGGCTCCTGGAGTTCCTGGGAATTGAATTCCCAGTGGAATTCTGCCTGCCGCTGCGGCAGGGAGAGCCCTGCTTCCCGCGCGGCGGCGGCACCGCCTGCCTGCCCTAGCACAAGCCGAGCACGTTGCTTTGCCAAAGGAGCTCCCACTCCCAAGAGGAAAAGCGGGGCAGCTCCCGGGAGCTGGTGCCCAAGCCCTTTGGCAGTCGCCTATTGCCATGAAATTGCCTGTGGATGTCGCAAAATCCACGCAGGTCGCTCTGTTCCCCGGGTGTTCTTTGGGGTTGGAAAAACTCCACAGTGAGGTTGGGAAATGCTGATAGTGCTTTAGGATGGGGGGAATGTCACAGTGACAGGGGGGATGGCCGTGAGTTTTATCTATTCCTCTATTTTCTTACTATACTGTTCACTAATTGGCATACTGAGAAGTAGTGGCAAGTTATAACCTGTGTTTTAGAATTACTGTGCATATTAATTTTAAAGCATTTCTTACTGTCTGGCTAATTACTAATCCATTTGCTTGGCTTTTAAAGATGCAAAAGGAGTGATGTTAGAACTATGGTGAGTCAAAACGTACCTCCAAATGTTTGTTTGTAACTAATGTATATTGGGGGATTTTGGTGTGTAAAGTTACCCAGGGCTATGTGAGRTCTGGAGTACAGTGCAGGTACTGGTATAAGCCAGATGATAGTTCAGTGAATAAGAATATGTTTCCTTCGTCATACAGAGAGGCAGAATGTGTATTTCTAAGCAGGGATGAGGATGTGTCAATGAGCGAGAACCTCTTGGTTTTTTTTTAATCAGATGTAAAATACAAACTTTTTGTGGTTTTTTTTTTTAATGCTTATATTGTAAGCTATATGGAGTGCTTTTCTGGGTGGAGGATGTATGTGTGTATTAATTACTTATTCCCTACCTACTTAATTGGTGATCTCTCATGGAAGGCCATTTGGAAGCCGTTTAAAAGTGGATTGTCTTTCCCCCTTGACTTTAGGTGTTATTTAAAATCTGTTTTTTTGTTAAGTTGTTCTTAGAGAAATCAGACTCTTTTTTTCAGCATCAGATAGTAGTTATTAAAAAAAAATGGAACCACCTTTCTCATTTAAATATTATTTGGCAACACGAAATACTGAAATAGCAATGCATTTGCACATACATTATATGTAAGCAAACTCTTTTTAATTCATAATAAGCCRTAAAATGACTAGATGCCCGACTGCTTTTTCTGCCTTGGAGGTGGCTCCTTAATAACAGATATGACAGACAAAAACCAGCAGGTGTTACGGATAGATCCCAGCGGAGGGCTCCAGCTGGGACGCTGGGGGCAGAAATCCCTTGGCCTGTGCCCGACGTCGGCACGCGCCTCCCCGCGCGTTCCCGCGCTCCCGGATCAGCAGGGATGAGGGCGGCGCCCGGCTGCCCCGCAGCCTCCCCGTCGGGGTGGGAGCTCCACGGCGCCCAGCCCGCTGCCCAGGGGCTCGAGCCTCCCCTGCTGCCGAGCGCTGCCCTCAGCTGTTCCCTGGAAGCCAGGATCCTTCCCAAAAGTGGGAAGAAAGARGGGAAGAGCAGTTCTAAAATGTCTAATTTGGATAGGCAGCGTGTGTTTTCTGTTAAAACTCTTCCTGGATATATATTTCATATATATATATATATTTTAATTTCTAGTGTAACTAATGAGAAGAACTGAATCTGCTGCAGAGGTGGGTGATGTGTGGAAAGAAATTCACCGTTGTTTATACACCGTGGCCTTGAAGATGCACTACTCAAAGAGAAGAAATTCAGGAAAACTAGCTGTTTTGCATGTGTGGCAAAAGTGCTTTTGATATAAATGATGTATTTTGTAGTCACAGCGGCCGTAGCGAGGAACATGTGTGTCTACCCACATGTGAACTCCGTTTTCTTTTATTATGGTACATATGGTGTGGTTGAGGGTGAGAATATAAAAAGCACTGTTTGCCCACCACAGGGTCTTCCTGTAGTATCCTTAGTGGTATTATTTTCAAAACCATCATCAGTCACTGCTTTGATAAAGGGCCTGCTCAGCCCCGAGATCGCAATACCATTTAGATTGTTTTCTTTATTTGTGTGCATGGACAAGGTGTGGTCATAATGTCTATGATATGAGCAGGAAGTAGGATTTGTACAAATATTTATTTTCTGACATTCAGCAGGACTTACAGGAAAAAATAATTTGCTTATACATGAAATGAAATAAACACGGAGTTTACTCCCAGGTCTTCTCAAGTCTTTACCTGAGTTATGGTAATTCCACCTATCGGTAATATTTCTCTTTCTAGACAGTAGCTGTGTATGCTCTGGTGGCCCATACGTTGGTCCAGTGAGAGAGCTCTTGGTGCCTCTTTTTTATATTCCTGGAAATCCTGCTCAGCCTTGAGAGCCAAATTCTGCACTGGAGTTACAGAGCATAGCACCTGGTAATCTTCATGCTGAATGTGATTCTTCTTTTTGTTCATATTGTACAGTGTGTGGTACTGGAACCAATTTCAGGCTTTCTTAACTGAGTGGATTCGTAATATATGTTGATGCATCAGAAAAGTAGGATTTGTTCTATTTAGCTTCATTTTTAACAGAGTTTTTAAATCTGCTTTCTTGAGTGGAAATAGGGGCAAATTATTTCTGACCATGTTTGTAATGCTGTCACAAATAAATAAAATAGAGAATATAAGCAGGAGGAGCTACAGAAATTGAGGGGGCTCAGTTTCCTTAGATATCTAAGTGCTATGGATGAAAATCCATGTAGGATCAATGCTGTAGGCTTACACATTCCACGAGACTTCGACATATTTTACAGCTGTTTCCAGAGTTGCTCCAAAATGCACCTGGTTTCTTTCGGACTTTACGCTTTGTAGAAATCTTCACATTCTCTCCAGTGGTACTAGGATAAGAATTTTAAAAGGCACAAATAATTTTTTTCTCCTTTCAACAGCTTAAGACTTTGTTTGGGAAGCTGTTGCCCACTTGTATGACGGCTGCTTTTCAAGATTCTGAGTACCTGAGCAAGCCTCGGAGCTGGATTAGGTCAGCGTGGGGTTCATATTCGTGTTGTAGGTGCACATTACATAAGTGCCCGTGTGGGCTCCAGTCTYGATGCAGACACTGTGCATGAGGAACCCAACAAAATGGAATTGTCGTATCAGATTTTACGGGATTCACTCACTCACAGCCCAACCCTCACTAGAAGTCCAATTATCCACTGTGAAGAGGGTTATACATGTGATAAAACACTTAACAAGGGACTATGGTTTACATTTACTCCTCAAAGTTTGCTAGGGGGAGTATTGAGGTTAGTTGTGAGATCCTATATACAAATCTTGTAGTAGAGGTTGTCCCAAAATCATTGCAGTCCATCTGAAGATGGGAGACATTACACTCCATTAATAGATTTCCGTGTCAGGATTTACCTGATACGTAGTACGCAGAGCTCCTCATTTGTGATGACACATTCCTCTGGTAAGTTGAACGAGGGGCATTAGGGAATTGGAAAAACCCTGGAATTCTATTGAGATATTCTGCCTTACAAAACCATGATGTCTAATAGCTTTATATTAACTACTGTAAAGCAAATTGCAGTAGAGCCTGTTTTGTATCACTGTGGTGATGAGGCCAAGCTCTTCCTAGGACATTGCTGAAAAATTTAGGACTTAGCGGCCAAGTACAGATYGAAGAAGAAATTATTCCAGAAATTGGAGAGAGATTTCCCCTTCCTCACCCCACTCTCCATGCTGTTGTGTTAGGGGATTTCTTATATGTGCAAATTTTAAAAAGATGAGTTTAAAATTCATAGATTTATCCAGCCCTTTCCCACCAGTAATTCAAAACCAAAGTTGTTCATAACTGTATGATTACATTTTTGTGCGTATGTGTATGTATGAGTGTATATATGTGAATATATATAAAAAAAATTCTCACTACTGGACATTTTAAAGATCTATAGCCTTTACCCAAGAAAATGTTTTTATTTATGAAACATAATTTTGTAAATATTGTGCTAATATACTTAAAATAAAGCCATTTCAAGGTGTTTTTGCCAGAGATCTTGTTGCTATCACATTGTGCTTTTTAAAAACAGCAGAGCAGTGCGAATCAGTGGTCAGTCTTTAAGCTTGAGGAGAGTTCTGTGTGTGAAGAGAATTTCTTGTATTACAGTGAAGACACTACTCAGTAAGCCCTGAAATTTGGGAGGACTTCATAAACGTGCTAAGGGTGACGCTCGTGCTGAAGCTCAGAAAAAGAGCCTGCCTGCAGCTAGTACCTCGTGCTCGGCACCGCTGTCCCTGCGAGGGCTGCACAGCGGTGCCCTCGCGGACCTGCTGCCTCTCAACAGAGTCACGTCTAAAGCCTCTGCCCGGGCTGCTCCAGTCAAGCAGGGAGGCCAGCACAGCCCCATGCTGCCCGCTCCAGAAGCCTCTGAAAGACCTTCACCACCTTATCAGGGCTGGATACTCTAGATTTATTGCTATAGCTACCTGCCTAACAAAAGGAGTGTCCTCTCATGCCCTCCACTTAGAGAAAAATTAAGAGAAATATCATTTGTTACACTTTTATTTTTTGTCTGATAGGTAATTATTTGGGGGCTCACAATTAGGTAATCACACTTGGGGCTTTCAGTATATCTTGTCATAGGCACAGCTATTAGCAGAGTCCTGAGGACCAAAATCACAGAATGGGAGAGATCGCCCGGGGACAGCAAGTGATTGAAGTGGTGCGTGAGCAGGCCTGCCCGTCTTGCCAAGTGGTCTCCTGTGCAGCCCACCGATGGGGCAAGGCCAGGCGTGCTGGGAGCGAGCAGGCCCTGGTCCTGACCCCACGGGCTGCCTTTGCTGTGGTAACTGGGCTATGGTGGGAGCTGAAGRGCGGCTGTAGGAATGGGAGGTGCCCAACAGGGAGCCAGACTSTATTCACAGAATCACAGAATGGTAGAGGTTGGAAAGGGCCTCTAGAGATCATCTMGTCCAACCCCCCTGCTCCAGCAGGGACACCCAGGGCATATATTCGAAGTGCAGGAAGGAGCCTTACGATATTACTGGGTTGGGAGAGAGCGTGTGAATGTCTAGGCATGTGCAAATGAAGGAAAGAGAAGCTTGGTCAGGAGGACACAACGATGAGAAAAAAAATCCACATTTGCTGCAGGGGAAGGAGCAACTCTTCCAGCCCAGCTCCAGTGTGAGCACTTTGGGACCCTCCAAGGATGTTCGATCAAAGAGTTTTAAGAGTATTACTTCTGTATGTGCTTCTGTATGTGACAGAATGATGAAGATTTTGGAAGAAACTGCTGTCACATAAAGCCAGTGTGCTACCCCAGTCAAGCCAGTGTAGCTGGCTTTACTCCACGCACTTGAGCGGTGTCACTCGGGCCTTGTAACTAACGAGTGCAGAGTAAGGCCTTTGATTCGAGTTAGGAACCACGTGAGAAAAAGCACCGAGGTTTTACCTGTGATCCATAGCTTGGGTGTTTGCAGCTACCTTGACTCGCTAGGTAGGTCGGAATAGCTATGGGTAGTGCTGGAAAGCCAAACAGTATTGTCATGTTGCTGTGAATCATGTAATGTTAAAAAAAAATGGATTAAAATGTCAGGAAGAGCCCGTTGGTTTTGAACAGGCTGCAAGATTTACCTTGTACCACCCTACCATAGTTACAGCTATAATAATGTGGGTGTCTTGATGCTTGCCACAGCTCTGTTCTTTTCCCCATTACAATGCCTTGTTTCCTTCTTATCAGCTCTTCAGGAGAATAATATAAATCAAATAATAATATAAATCAAATAGTAAGGGGCAATCGGGGAATAAAGAAAACGATTAAAAAATTCTGAACCACGAGGCTGCTGGTGACATTTGCAATGAGAATGTACTGTGGTACCAAAGACGAACAGCCTCAAGGGTCATGCCAGCTATGAAATGAAGCTAGTTAGGGAACCAGTAAGCAAGACTGAGGTCTTCAAAACCCGCCTGGATGCCACCCTGTGCCACATGCTAGAGTGTCCCTGCTGGAGCAGGAAGGTTGGACTAGATGATCTCTAGAGGTCCCTTCCAACCTTGAATATTCTGTGATTCTGTGTCATCACTGTGCCAGTCTGGGCAAAGACAAGAGCAGAAGGTGGCTCCCGTCCCCCTGAGGGGGTAACTCTCAATGAACCAGAGTTACGTGTGTGCCTATTTCATACCAGATAAGGTGAGCTCTTGACAGACTCGGCAAGTAAATTAATGGAATGATGCATGTGCAAAAGCCAGGAAGAAAAAAAATAACCCAAATACAAGAAAGCAGCCCACAAAAACTCTTGCATGAGTTGTTGTTCATTTATTTACTATCAGTGAGGTAACACCCTGTTAACCAGGTGCAGCCAGATGAGTGCAGGAGAAACTGTTCAGTGCCTGAAAGTCCTCCTAGGCCAGACAGCAGCCTCAGCCTGGGAAAGCAGGGGGAAGAACCTCCCCTGTGTGTAGTAAGGTGGGCAAGAGCAAAGTCTGATCCTAAGTGAGTAGCAAAGAGGATGCTTGTCAGGCTCAAAGGAAAAAGCAGAGAATCACAGAGTGGTTGAGGTTGGCAGGGATCCGTAGAGATCATCTAATCCAACCAACCCTCTGCTCCAGCAGGGACACTCAGAGCACGGGGCAAAGGGCGGCMTCCTGGGCACAACCTCCCTGGGCAGCCTGTGCCAGGGCTCTGTCACCCTCACAGGAAAGAAGTTCTTCCTYRYATGGAGATGGAACTGCCTGTGTTTCAATTTGTTCCTCCCATCCTCTTCACATTCTCCCATCAGGTATTTGTACATGTTGATAAGATCCCCTCTCAATCTTCTCCAGGCTAAAGAGGCCCAGCTCGTGTAGTCTTTCCTCATACAAGAGCTGCTCTAGTCCCTTATTCATCTTTGTTGCTCGCCTCTGGACCCTCTCTAGAAACTCCACCCCCAGAACTGCCCCCGATACTCCAGGTTTGGCCTCACCAGAGCTGAGCAGAGGGGCAGGATCCCCTCCCTTGACCTGCTGGCAACRCTCCTCCTGATGCAGCCAGGATCCCATTGGCCTTCTTGGCCACGAGGGCACACTGCTSACTCATGGTTAACTTGGTGTCCACCAGGACTCCCAGGTCCCTCTCYGTGGAAGTGCTTTCCAGCAGGTCGACCCCTAATCTGTACTGGTGCCTGGGGTTATTCCTCCCCAGGTGCAGGACCCTGCACTTGTCCTTATTGAACCTCATGAGGTTCCTCTCTGCCCAACTCTCCAGCCTGTCCAGATCCCTCTGGATGGCAGCACAGCCCTCCGGAGTGTCGGCCACTCCACCCAGCTTGGTGTCCTCTGCAAACTTGCTCAGGGTGCACTCCGTGCCCTCGTCCAGGTCATTGATGAACAAGTTGAACAGCCACAGGCCTCCAACTGGAGGCCCCATTTATCACCACCCTCTGAGCTCTGCCATCCAGCCAGCCCTCGATCCACYGCACCGTGCACTCATCTAACCCACGTTTTCTGAGCTTGTCCATAAAGATATTTTCGGAGATGGTGTCAAAAGCCTTGCTTGTCAAGGTAGACATCATTCACGGCTCTCCCCTTGTCCATCCAGCCAGTCATCCCATCACAGGCTATCAGGTTGGTCAAACATGACTTTTCCATGGTGAATCCATGCTGGCTACTCTTAATCACCTTCTTTTCCTTGACATGCTTAGAGACAGTTTCTAAGATGAGCTGCTCCTTCACCTTTCCAGGGACAGGGGTGAGACTGACCAGCCTGTAGTTTCCTGGGTCCATCTCCTTGCCCTTTTAATTGCCCTTTGAAGACTGAGGTTCTCCATGACCTCTACATGATAGAGAGTGACTGAGCAATAATACTTGCCAATTACCTCAGCACCTGTGGGTGCATCCCATTGGGACCCATAGATTTGCAGGTGTCTGGTTTGCCTAAGCAATCTCTAACCCAATCCTCCTCGACCGGTGGAAGGTCTTCCTCTCTCCCATTTCTCTCTCTTTTACCTGGGCTCATGTGGAGCACCTTAGCAGTAAAGACAGACACAAAGAAGGCATTTAGTAACTCTGCCTTCTCTGCATCCTCCGCCATCACGGCACCCTCCCCATTCACCAGTGAGACCAGGTTTTCCCTAGTCTTCCTCTTGCCGCCGATGTATTTGTAGAAGCCCTTCCTGTTGTCCCTGACATCTCTTGTTACATTTAATTCCAAACAGGCCTTGACCTTCCTCACTATATCCCTGTTTTCTCCAACAGTACTCCTATATTCCTCCCACACGATCCGATCCTTCTTCCACATTATGTCTGCTTTCTTCTGTTCCAGGTTTTCCCTTGCCCATCCACACAGGTCTCCTGCTCTCYCTTGCTTGACTTCTTTCTTGTGCGAATGCCCCCATCCTGAGCTTGCAGAAAGTGGTGCTTGAATATCAGCCAGCTCTCCTAGACCCCCTTTCCTTCTAGGACCTTGACCCAAGGGATTCCTCCAAGGAGCTCCCTGAAGAGGTCAAAGTTGGCTCTCTTGAAGTCCAGGACTGCAATCCTATTCTTGACCAGATTCCTCCCCACAGGATTGTGACTTCCTACATCTTGTGGTCCCTGCAGCCGAGACTGCCCCCAACCCTCACATTTCCCACTAGACCATCTCTGTTTGTTAGTATCAGGTCTAGCAGCGCCCCTCCCCTTGTTGGCTCATCAGCCACTTGCACCAAGAAGTTATSTGCAATG